TATATTATCATGGTGTTTACAACTACATGAATGTGACTTATTACTATTACTGAAGGTCCGAGGCTCCGAACCGTAGTAAAGGGACCTCTGGCCCGTGTTGGGCTCGTAGCCGAAAAATACCTTTACTTTGTTGTCTGGGTCAAATTTGCTAGCGAGAGAGAGAGAGGGGCATTGAAAGACTGCTCCAATGGAATTTATTGTTTCGGAAGAAAACACGAACAGGGTGTGCAGTAGAGTCTTAATATCTTACTTACAACTGGGCTCGTCAGGCACTCTTCTTGGCTGCAGTGGTTATTATATTTACATGCTTCCAGCTCCCGTTTCTGCTCGATGACAACTCGTACTTTTCCACTTTCCTTTTTCTCCCTCCTTGCACTCACAGAAACATAACGGGTATGGTAGTCCATTCTCCCTGCAGCACGGACTACACTACCCATGAGGCTACGTTCTTTAGGGCTATGTCTCTAGCATTCTGCCTATTAGTTTAGCACAACAAGAACAACAAGGCACCCTCTCACCCAGGAAACAGACAGTCGCAGAGAGAGCGTTGCCCTGTAACCATGGCAACCGTAACGCTGCCGCCTGGAATAACAGAACATAGCTGTCAAACAAAACCTAAACAATCCTGACAATCCTACGACATGGAACAGAAAAATACCACCGTGTAATCCATTTCTTTCAAAGTAACTTTTCTCATGATACCACCTTTTCAAACCGCAACTGTAATGGAATACAGTCACTCATTTTGCATTTTAAATACGTAATGGTGGTACATGTATTCCGTTACTCCCCAACACTGCCTGTAGGCTGCGAACTTGTAGAACAGGGAGACTGAAGTAAATAGCTGAGAACAGCCATTTCTAGTCCTGTCACAGACATCTGAGTCGTATGAATTTTGTACATATGTAATGCTCAGTTTAAAAAAAAACCAAAAAAAACCCCCACTACATTTAGTTGTGTCATTTTTGAAATGACAATTCTAATACAGGGATTTGTCTTTTGACCATGACTAAAAAGAAAGTCACATTTCCTGTCCTCCCACATGCTGAGGTTTTTAAACATGGCAATCAGAATTCATCCAGTCTTGAAAGCTTGCAGAGTATCCTGTTATGTACATCAACCATTTTCTAGGTGGTTGAACTGTATGAAACCAAGTGGTGCATTTAAAAATCACTTCTCAAACTGAAGTTCCAATAAAGCAGCCTTTTTAATTGCAGCACACATTTTAAGAC